ACCTGTGTCTCCACAGTCCTGTCACGCACCCCCGGTCGCGAGTCTGGTAGGGACGCGCTGGGTGTGGCGGGCCGGGCGCGGCTCGGCGGCGGCGGACTCTCCTTCCCGCTCCGTCCCCGGCGGCCACGGGGCGTGAGTGGGTCCGGGAGCGGAGACCGCGGCCGCAGCCAGGCGCTGCGGAGGAGCGCGGAGGGGGCTCGCCTGCCGCCCCGACGCCGACTCTGCCCGGTCCCCGCGCTCGCCCCGCGGAGCCCGCGGGTCTGCTGAGCAGCGGGGACCCGGAGCTGCGGTTTTCTGTGCCGTCGTCAGGATGGCAACCCTCGTATCCATTTTCTTGCTCCTCGAGGGTGGTCCCGGGTGGCAGCCTGGCTTTGTGACCCCCTGACCGCAGCACCCCGGCTGGGCCTGCTGCACCGCGAGGGGGGAGCATGGGTGGCGGCCCTGCCCGGGCCGTCATGTTCCTATTAATAAATCCAGCGACAAACCGCTGCTTCGCACAAAGGCACGCGGGCACCGCACCTGGCGCTCGGGGGCCTCTGAGGTCACCGGCCCCGGAGACAGCGCGGGAGGCAGGGTCTCCATCCCCGCGGCTGGGCACCCGTCCCCGCTCCCGCCGGCTCCTGCAGGGGGCGCTGCTGTGGGGCTTGGTGATGGACGCAGAAATGAAATGACTGCTCCAAACTCAGCACGGTTCTCACTCCCCACTGAAGTTATTTTTGCTCGTGAAGGGTTTAAGCCAGAGAGGTGAAATGTATTCCTACGGTTTTTAGGTCCTTTAAGAACTCGGGACTTTATCTGTGACCAATAGCAGAGGCTGTAAAGGGTTACATGTTTCCATGAAAAGAGTGCGTGTGTGTATCGTATATCCTAGTTCTAGGTGCTTTGGGGAGACGAAGATGGGAAAGAGTAAAAACTTCCTCACCCCACCATCTGGTCCATCCTGAATTCTGAAACACAGAATATTTTGTAGCAGGTTCAGTGGCTGACTTGTGTTTGTTTCTGTTGGAAACTTTTTACTTTTTATTATTTTTTTTTCAAATATATTTTTATTGATTTCAGAGAGGAAGGAAGAGGGGGAGATAGAAACATCAGTGATTAGAGAGAATCATTGATCGGCTGCTTCCTGCACGCCCCGCACTGGGGATGGAGCCCACAACCCTGGCATGTGCCCGGACTGGGAATTGATCTGGTGACCTCTTGATTCATGGGTCAATGCTCAACCACTGAGCCGTACTGGGAAGGCTGTTGGAAACTCTTTAAAGAGAGGGAATCTATCCTATTTCTTTGTGACTCCCAGTGCCTTACAATATATTACTTAATGAAGAAATTACTGATCCATCCAGTAATCTGGCCATCTCCCCCCAAATATTTTTTTCTTGATATTGCCATCAATTTTATGAATGTATTAATGGTTGTTTTTAAGCACAGTGGTTAGGGTAATTATGTACTTATCCCCATTGAAGTTCACTTGATTTTACAGCTTATCCATCTTTTTATTTTATTATTTGATTTATTTATTTTAAAATATATTTTTATTGATTTCAGATCAATGATAAGGGAGGGACAGAGATATAGAAACATCAATTGAGCGTCTTCCCCCTGGTGGTCAGTGCATGTCATAGCGACCATTTGGTCGGCCAGTCCTAATGGTTGCTTAGGCTTTTATATATATAGATGTTAAAAAAAAAAAAAGTTAGGCCCTAACCCGTTTGGCTCAGTGGATGGAGCATCGGCCTGCGGACTGAAGGGTCCCAGGTTCAATTCCGGTCAAGGGCATGTACCTTGGTTGCGGGCACATCCCCAGTGGGACTTGTGCAGGAGGCAGCTGATCGATGTTTCTCTCTCATCGATGTTTCTAACTCTCTATCCCTCTCCCTTCCCCTCTGTAAATAAATCAAAAAAATATATTTTTATAAAAAGATAGAAATCCCAAACCAGGAGCCTCCTGCAGGTCTCCCGCTGGAGGCCCATTCTTTTTCTTTTTGGAGGAATAGACGATTCCGGAAGGAATTATTTTTTTAATTGAATGAGAACACTCGGACACGATACGGGTTGAGTTCTCCCAATGGTGCCCGAAGACAGTATCAGGGGGGCAGAGAGACAAAAAGGAGGCTACCATCTGGAGGGTTTTTGTTTGCCCCACGACTGGATCCCCTACGTGTCCGCCTACCCC